TAAAGACATGACAAAGGAAGACCATATAATTTCAATATTCATATTTAATATCTCTTGTGTGATGACATTATTTTCCAGAGCCATCCTCATCCCCCGCTTCAGGCACAGATACTATTTCAGTCACTTTGAAAAGCAGCAGTGAAAACGATTTCTACAGTGGCACTCTGAAAGGCTTCAGAAAAGAGGAGTCTTTGCAGGGTCCACAAGCCAAAAATGTGAGTGCATGTTCAATATGTCATGTACACCATTGTTTTACATTTTAGTGACGTCTGTCCATCCGTGTGTCTGTACCAGTAGATTGCTCATAAACCTATACTGCTTACTTAACGGGTGTCATTTTTGTTGTGTTTTGTTTTAAGCTGATAAAACAGGTTCTGCTGACCAAACCAGGAGGAAGTGATGTGCTGAAGGAGTATGAGAAAAAAGGAACAATTAGTCCTGCCACAAGAAAAGTGATGGTGAAGATTCTAGTTGCAGACATGATGCAGAGTGAGGGGTAAGATTCTAATTTGTTAGTGGGTTTGGAAAGTATTCAGGCCACTTCACTTTTTCCATACTTTATTGTGTTGTGAGACTTCATGTCTTGTATTTTGCTCGTACAGGCACTATGAACTGTTGGAAATTATACAGATGGGTAAAAAAAAGAAGTTGATCATTGTTCTCTTTTCTTACAGAGTGGGACAGTGATATGGCATCCATTCTCCTCCTTCTGCACCTCCTGTCACCCCAGCCTGCGGGAAGGAAGAAAACCCAGAAGATCAGTGTAGCTCAGGCCATTGACCATCTGGTCGTATTTCACAAGGTATGTGGCAGGTTTAAGAATGTTAGATCTAGCCACCAGAACTACTACAGAGAGCTGTCACTATGATAAAGTAGGACTAGGCTAGTGCAAATATAAACTATTCCTAAAAACACACATGCGCATAGTTAGCCATGTAAAATTAAAATGTTGCTTGCCTTGTCCTTCAGTCCTGTAGGAGTCTGGACGAGCACCTTCAGAGCCATATGGACACGAGCCAGCCATATCTTCTTGCTTCAGGGACCAGCAAGGAGGCCGTCGGCAACTTCTTCATTCTGATCGACAAGAAGCTTTTCGGACATCCACTGTCATAGAGGGTTATTTTTTTATTTGTTGAATTGCATATTGTGAGAATTTGTGCATTGTGAACATTTGTCAGTCTTAAGGCGAGACACGGCAGGCAAAAACATCGTTTTTCAAGTACTGGTCAATTTAGAGATTTTGTGCTATTTTGATTCCATAACATGTTTTCTTTCAGGCTTTTGGAAGGAAAACGTACAAAATACACATTTAAGTGTTTATTTTACTATAGTTTGTCTATTTGCGTCTGTAGATTTCTCCTAAATTCACCAAAAGTTAGCATTCTAACGTAACATAAAGTACCGCGACCGCTGTGTGCACCATGTCAACAGAGGTATCGCTGGAAAGCTGTGTCTCTCCTGCACAATCTCATCGGATCCAAATATGGTCATTTCCTTTGTATCAGCAACCAATCGTGAAAGCACAAAGGGGTCTTAAACCAAGAAACAAAATCTCATTGGCTGGTGTCAATTTCTGACAACGTGATTCGTTCAGATGCGTCACGCGGTGTGCTAAAACACTTCCTGGTTAGCTTTCAGCTAGAAATTGAAATTCCAAAAGAACCGCGAAAAAAACGTTCACAGAGAAGACGACAACAATTGTCACTTGCACGAAGCAAGGTTATAAAATAAAAAAATGACCCTAAACATGAAATACCTTCACGGAGTGCGTCGATGCGCAAGCTGTCATCCAGAGAACAGGAGGGTTTAGCTAGCGCCTCACTGCAATCTTTAAAGGTCGTTTTCTCAAAATGAGTTTTTTCTCCTACTCTGAGTTCGAAATTTCAACTTCAGTAGCACGTACATACACCAAACCTTCCAGTTATATTCCCATCAATATTATGAAGGCTTTTACAGAAGGGTTTGTTCATATATAATTCATAGCCTGAATTATACAACATTGTATACCTAAAAACATGGCGAAAATGGATATTTTAGGGCTGTTGACAGTATTTTCTGATTTATGGAGTGATAAAAAGAGATATCCAATATTCCTTCTTTAAAAGCCTTAGATACTAATATGACTACAAAATGAAACAAGAATTTTGAATCTGGCTATATCCAAAGTTCAGATTTCGATTCCTGAAATGTGTTAAAATATGTGCATATTTAATGAGATAATGGGGAATTTGCATATTTAAACATGCTATTTCAGAAAACTGGTAATACAAAAGACAATTGCCTTATTGTAAGTAATTAACTGGAGAAATGTCTAGCTGATACCTTTAAGTTAAAAAAATTACCCTATTCACCTGGGGTGTCTCGCCTTAAGAGACATGCCACCATTCAAATAAAGCACTTGGCATATATGTTATCTGGAATGATTTATTGGTCATTGTAACTTTTAACACCAGTTTTGTTGTACATCATAATACCAATACACAACATTGACATTAGATTAGTGTTCATTTTGAACTCCCAGAGGCGTTGAGGCTAATGCAAAATGCAACACCAGTATAATGTGCATTCAACACTAGCTCAGTGTACATTTCTAACTCTCAAAGGTGTTATATGGGAGAAGATGTATCACTACTGTAGTGTTACTCTACACCAGGACAGTGTAACATTCAACACTATCAGTGTACATGTTTAACTCTCAAAGGTGTTATATGGAAGAAGATGTATCACTACTGTAGTGTTAACCAGGACAGTGTAACATTCAACACTATTAGTGTACATGTTTAACTCTCAAAGGTGTTAGATGGAGAAGATGTATCACTACTGTAGTCTTACTCTACACCAGGACAGTGTTGAATTGAAGATGCAGCCAACACTGTTAGTGTTATCGGCGTTGGGGTTCAGTGTTGGTGTTCACATCTTACACTCTTAGTGTTGGTATAGTAACACTGTGATAGTGTTATATTGTCAACACTTTGGAAAGTGTTAATTTAACACTTTGCTGGTGGTTTCAATATAAACTCTTTCATAGTTAAAATTAACTACATGGGTGTTGAATTTTTGATTTCAAATTTGCTGTGTGGAGCAGACATAATATTTATCTACATCTGTTGGGTGTGTTCAGTCTGTATTTACAAGATGTTGTATGAGATGAATGTGTTGGGACAGCAGCAGATCTCATGTTCTAAAATTTGACTGCATGATATACAGAATTGGGTTCGCCCTGGAAAACAACGGTGTTTTTCTTTCTGAGAGTGACTGAAAGATCCACCCTTTAAAACATTCAATGAAGGATCTGCACGTACACCTGAGAGCAGAGGAGTGAACAGAGTGATGAAGCTTGCCCAATCAAAATCATCTGGAAACATTCTGCTACTCATGTCATTTCCTCCCACTTTTTCCTATTTTCTCTCCATTTCCTCTTATGTTTTCTGTGCTGGAATAGCTTGCAACTGTGCCTCAGTGCATCATTTCATTGAAAACAGTCATTCTGGAATATGCACAACATTGACAAAAGGAGTATTTTTGTTGTTGCCACGATTAAGATAAAAATATTGATAACTCTCTATAGGGCAAATTTGAAGCTACAGCTTTCAAATAGCATAACTTCCAACTATTTTGTATGGAATAAAACACACAAGATAAAACGTTCTCATTCATGATTAATAGTAAGTTGTAATGACAATGGTTGATTTTGTTGCCTGTTAACAAACCAAGCTGTCCTAATGCTAGGCTAGGCTAACTGGCTGCTGGTAGCAGCTTTGTTTTTAGCAAATATATAGTCTACATATGAGATTGGTAGGTTATATAACTCTTTACAAGAAACTGATAAGCAAATGTCCCAAAATAGCAAACTATTCCATTAAAGAGGATATAATTTAGGTTCATAGTTTTATTCATAGTTTATACTTGAAATGCTTTAATGTTCAAAACCCATTGTTTATGTGGTACTCTGTCAGGATATACCTGTATTAACACTGTCTGAAACGCCCTGTTAGAGTGCCTGTTTCTTTGGACCCAGTCTGCTCTGAGTAGTTTTAGGAAAATAATTGTGCATATATTTCTCACGCCGTGGTTGGAGATAAATGAATGGACACCAGTATGGGCTATCGTATAAAGTCTGCATATGACATACGGAGGAAGGGGAGCCGTTATCTAACCCCATGTTTTCTGACCAAGGCAGCCCACAATAAACCGATTAAGTTATGTTATGTGGGTTGGCAGGCACTCCAGATCCCATTGTAGGCCTATGTGCACTGACAATGTTTTATTATTAATTACCCTTATAACTTACATAAGTCCCCTCTTTAGAAAAGAGCTCACAATTTGAAAATGAAGCAGAAACATCCTTGATGCCCTTACAGTGTTTGTTGAAATTGTTCTTTATCATAGCCTTTGATATTATATACAAAATTACCTGTATTTACTTAGACTCCGAAATGTTTACAAAATCTAATAAGGCATTTCGTAAGGACATTTACTGAGCACACTCACATTTCCCAAAAAGGTATAATGACATGTTATAATATAATTAAACAGAAATTAATTTTCACCAAATCAAGGGCGCCAACAGTAAAACGGATTTGTCTGCCTTTTTGCTTCAACCTGACATCATAATGATTTTAAATTATTACTAGAGTAACTTATATTTCTGTCTCTGAGTATTAGGGTTAATTTAACTTAAACATAATAGTGTGTTTTCTGTTGTGTCTATGTACATATCATAATGTTTCAATTTAATATTGGTGTTAAAATGGATTGGTTTCTATGCAGTCATCCTAACTCAATGTGCTTATTCTACACAGAGGTTCTCATAATGTTGTCATAGCTCAAACATTCAATACAAACCCACATCATAATATTCCTCAGGGAAACTCCAGCCTGTCCACTGTGTGTGTTTACCACTATCAAATTACAGAGATAATTTCATATGTTTCTCATGAATATAAAGTATTGAAGTCTTCCCCCAACATTTCATTTATGTAAATAACAGCAAACCAGTATTTTTTCTGAATTGATTTATTGAATAATGTATTTCATTATTTACAAGCATTATCGCAGAATGGAAGTTTTAGGAATTCTGCTCTTAATTCTTAGGTCCTCTTCCATGTTCTCCTCATTTTCCACATCCTTTTCTCTGTTCTTCTCCTTTTTCTCCTCTTCCATGTTCTCCTCCTCCTCCTCCTCCTCCTCCTCCTCCTCTTCCTTCTCTTCCTCCTCCTCTTCCATGTCCTCCTCCTCTTCCATGTTCCTTTTCTCGCTGGTTAATGGGAAGTCGATACAAGCATTTTAAAATGACTGAATCAGCAAGAGGGGCAGCCCAGTTTAAAGCACACATTAAGTTCTAAAATGTCTTACCCAGCGCCATATAGAGAGAATATGGCTCTGGTCTTACCTTTTCACCTCCTTTGCATCCTTCCTCGTTTCCCTCTTCATTCTCGGTCTAGATGAGGGAAACACTTCATAAGTACACATGTTTTCATGCCGTTAGTAATAGGCCTATTGCACTGTGAGAAAATAAACTCACCTTGTTCTCGTCTGTGATGGAAAGACAAAAAACAAATACAATTAGTTTTTGTTAAAAACATGTTATTAATTACAAAACAACTCCAAAGCATTCTTACAAATGAATCAAAACTGTAACAATTACTTAAAGACACTTACGATCACACATTTTGTCTTTGCAGTAAATGCAATGGAGCAGATGGTATTTTCCTGGGGAAACAAAACATTTGGAGAATTATAAAGCTTCCCAGCAGTTATTACAAATAAGCAACAATGCTGCTATTCCCATACATACTTGGTGTGGAAATAAAAAATATTTGTGCGTAATGTGTGTGTTCAGATGGTATTTATAAGGCGTCGTATGAAATAAAGATTGTGGGTGTGTCAGTGCTGCACGCAGGTCACATGTTGTTAAATGTGACAGTTGGATCATTCCATCACAGGTGAGGTTTGGGCTCGGCCTGGAAATCACCTGACAGTGGTTCTCCCTCTGAGAGTCAGAGCAGGGATGAAACGAAGTCAACATTTCAGGCCATTGGATGTACATGTTTGTACAACCGGTTTTTAAATGTATTTAATGATGGAGCTCGGGGGACTTCTTAAAGATTTGCCTGTTGTCTGTGTTGTTTTTAAATGTGTGTCACAATGGATCCCTTGTCTTGTATCTGCAAACCAAATCACGCCTCAAACAGGTTCTGCAGGTTACAGCACCCTTGCAGGATGTACAGTGGCAGCATAAATGAAGGCTAACATGTTTAATCTCAACAAAACATTTTACATTATATACCTTGCTGAGTAGCAGTGGTGGAAGTTTAGGGATACATTATATTAATAAAAGCAATCACTGATGCTTGGTGCTTAAACATTCAAACATCATAGTTAATGGACAATATTTCCCTGTTGTCACAATGTTGAGATGCAGATTCTTTACTGATAATTCACCGTTCTTTTCTATTTGTGCGGTTTACATTCCTCCTGATGTAAATGAAAAGAATGCACAACAGGAATGCACTACTGTTTATGTTGTTCTCGAGTCATGAATGAACTACAACCTCATTTCATTTAGCAACCCTGTGATCCACAATGATAATAAATGATCCTTAAATCCTTGTATGAGCAGCTAAATGTTGTGAACGATCCAAATAAATTAAGTGCACAGAGCTGTCCGGGTGTATAGTTGGATTATTATTACTGATGCATTGTTATGTATGTAACATTTTAATGTTTTATACTATTGGGAAGTTCTCATCTAATAATGCATCTTATTTTAAACACTAATATTATGCTTTACATGTAATATATCGTTTTTCAAAGTAACTACTAGACTCTCAACTGTAAGGAGGAGGTACCGCGTTATCAAGGTAAGTCTGACAACATTGTTCACATGTTTGTGCTGTAAATTCAAACAGCAAAAAATAACACCACTTGCTATTGTCTGGCTGCGTGTATACACTAATTATAGATCAGAATTCTGTGACACACCCTTAACTGTCTTCAGTCATTACAAAAACAGATCAGAGACGTAATCTGAGGTGATCCTAAAAGTTCACCTGAGGACAGACAAACATGTGGCTGTAGGCCTACAGGTGAGTATCGCAGTAGACAAACTAATCATTGTAACATGAGATTATCTGTCTGCAGATATCAACAATTCATGGTCGTATTGATCTATCTGAACATGCACAACCTTGATTGTTTGTTAATACCTCATGTATATGCAATAATATTATCTGTTTAACATTGTCAAATCAATTTGTAAATAAAAGTTATGAAACAATACAAAATGGAAAATAAGCAGGATTAAATAAAGCTTGAATAACTAATCTTGTGCGCTAGTGGAAATTCAACGGGGGGAGCCTCGCTGTGGGAAAATTCGACAGGTGGCCAGTCCGCCCCTGAGAAATGTCTATGCACACTGTTACGGTTGCTGTTTGTCTGCTCATTAATCTGCCTGTGAGTGTTTTCAACTGTGTGTGATTAGGTAAATGAGCTGTGTGGTTGTGCCAACATCATTAGCTGCCCATATCCTGGTCCGCCTCTGAAGATGGTGATTGGATTGACGTCGTCCAATCGCAGCGCACAGCCGGCGCACACCTGCTGGGGAGGAGTACAAAGGCCGCAGACTATCACCACTCTGGAGGCTCTGTTGAGGAACAGACGCCTCTCGCTACTTGCTCTTAGAGAATTCTGTTAACTGTGGTAAAACTCGTGTGTAGTGTGTAGAGTAGCTTAGTTAGTGATTAGAGTATAGCTTCTGATTTTGTGACTGTTGCCCTTAGTTTAGCTGTGTTGTGTATAGATTATTTGGTTAGTTGTACCACTGTTAAAGTGAGGTTTTGTTTAGTTCCCTATTTAGTGTGAGTGTTATTTCTTTGTATGTACACAGACTCCTTTTTAAGAGTCCTCCCTTTGTTTGGTTATTTGTCAACCTGTGCCCTTTTGGCCCTTTTGTTTGTTCAGGCTTGCACGCCTGCCATTTTGTTTACCTCTGCTATTTAAAATAAATCACTTATAATTATACCAATACCAATCTGGTTATGTTTCTTCCCTTTAGTTCCCCTAGCCTAATAGGGAACGTAACACACACGTTATTATAAATAATAATTTTGAAATAAATTAAAAATATATTTTTAATTTTCAATTTGTAATCATCTGGCGACCCCCACTTTGGGAACCCCTGCCCCAGAGCCATATAATAGAAGAGTTACGACAACGGAAGTCCAAAAACGGTTATCGTCACGTGGTTCATGTAGAAGAGGATCGTTCCTCGGAAGTTCATGGCGGGCAATGTGAATGCATTGATAACAGGAGATAGAACTACGATTTTTGGTAATTATTAGTGAATAAAGGTTTTGATTTGCAATATGTATACAACAAATCGATATGTGTATGTATTTACATCAATATGTTTTAAAAAATAAAATAGAATTTGCTAATATTAAGTGATAATATTAGGATTAGTGTGAACAACTAGTTTACATGTTAGGCTAACAGTGCCTTGGTTAAAGAGCCTGTTGCTGTTTATTTATAGCTTTGAATTCTTTAAAACCAATATTATCTTCTTAAACTTGTATGGTAGTCAGGAGCATCACTTTCTAATGTTTATTGATATATTTAGAGGGAGGGAATCTAAAGTAATGCTTTAAAATTCAGATTAGATTAATGTCTACCATTTTCTTAAATTCATGGTAGTTTCAGTAATCCCATGGTAATTGAGGACACAAGTTATCTAAATGACTAATGTCATCTTTATGGCTTTCAGAAAGGACAGGAGACCGACAGGTGACTATCATAGGACTAGCAGCAGCAGCATGATGATGATGATGATACATGTGTTGTTTTAGGAACATCCATTGCAAATACATGGAATTCAATAAACATTGAATAGCATATCATGCAGTTTGTCTGTGCCTTTTCCTCCTTGTTGTCCTGGTTTGCTGTGCTGCCTCCTAGTCGCCACCATGGTTTGCTGTGCTGCCTGGGGATGCTCCAATCGCTTAGAGAAAGGAGTACGAATGTACAGCTTCCCCACTGACACAGAGCGGAGGAAGCAGGAGCAATTTCACAACCAACAGCAAAAAAATATGTGATTTATATACAAACACTGCATTTGCACTTTTTCACAAAACGAAAACCACACCATTGGGAAAGCTTAATGTTTTGTTTAATACAAAAAACAGGGAAAGGCTTGAAAAACACAGAGTTGAGACTCAGGGTGCAGGGTGAGGGTCTCAGTGCAGGTATTCAGGCTCCATTGAATCCCCCTCTGGTTCTTGTGCTGAAAGAGGGATAAACAGACAGGAGAAAGGGTTATACACACCTATATAGCACACCTATTGGATGGGAAATTGCCTTGGGGAGATAAGGTGTGGTCTTTGTTCCCAACTGAAGTTATGGAACTTTATTATTTGTGAGTTTAACAAAGTATGACAAATGGCATCAGTAACATATGTGATATGAATTTCTATAAAGTTGTCTCACATTCTTGGTCATATTGTATATACAGTATGTAATGAGTATAACATGTCCAGTAAGTATAAAGTGTTTCCTAATACTGTGTATTCAACCACTATGGAATATGTATGTGGGCAGACAAAACTGAGTTGTTCTGTGTGTGAAGTAACCTCAAGTCACTCCGCAGGCACATTTTGATGCAGACCAGTTTGTCAAGACAAAAAAGGGCAAGACTAGGCTGAGAGCAGAGGCTATACCCACCATCTTCGTGCATCGCCCTGTGGTCAAAAAGAGAAGTGCCCCTGCACCACGATTCACCCCGGGACCTGTATCTACAAAGCCCATAGCTCATGATCACAGCGATAGTGTGAAAGGTGACACAGGTATAATAAGTATGAACTCTTAGTAACAAAAGTAATATTTCTTATTTTTAAGTGGTATAATATTTTAAATGTTCGAACATTTACAGTGCCATGTCTTCTACTTACATTAGTCTCAAAGATTGAGGGAAGAAGGGAAGGGATCACTGCCCTCCACCTGCCAGAGGAGCGCAAACAACAAAAACAAGCAAGGTGTCCCGTCATGTACCTGGAAGTTTGGGTTGGCAAAATGGAGTAAGAGAGGGACTTGAAAAACCTTGGTGGCTGTCTACTCATGTTGTTACAGTTGGCTTGGTTACAGCTCTCACGTTTTTTTTGGTGCCATTTCCACATCTTTAGAAAATATGAAAAAATTGAAGTGAAATCAACCTCTTCTCTGGAGAACAAACTTCGATTTCTCTGTCTTGTGAGTTTGCAGTCTTGCAGTTTTGCTCCTCCACCTGTAACATCACTGCCCCTCCACCTGCCATGCAGTAGGTTACTAACAAGATTACTTATATAATACAGTGATATAATACATGTTTAGTATGCTTACTTATATAAAACAGTAGTATTAAACTTACCTTGTGTGTTCACTCTCACTTAAGTCCCTCTCCCTTTGCCATCAATCCAAAATCAGCTGAGCTGCAACATTATACAGACAGGTAATAATCAACATAATCACAAGGACACAATATGGCTCTGCTAAAAACACTCACTCTTACACGCACCAAAGTTATATTTATCTAATATTTAGCTCCCTCCACCCCCGCATACAATCCCGTTTAGAAGCCCCTCTTCTCTAATTCAACAACGTTGGACGAAATAGACATTAAGAGAACGGAATTTACAATTAAAAGGCTGTTCAACGTGTGTTGCTAACTTGCTTCGGTATCCTAGCTTGATCTGTTATCTGTAAACGTTCCCTAAATCTACTAATTTAGGGATAATCCACTGACATCCTTTAATACACATGTTCAATTGAATCAGATGTACTGATAATATCCGCAATATAAATCTTTAAACTTCTTCTTACCTTTAAAAGTCCGTCACGAACGGTCTATTATGCTGCAACTCTACAGCTCTGCTAGCCTTGGCGCTAACTTCCGGGGAACGATTGAGAGGCTCCACGATCCGCCATTGCTGTAAAAAAAGTGGTCCATTGGAGTGAACGGAGATGTCATAACTCTTCTATTATATGGCTCTGCCCTGCCCTAACGTACCTGGTTCTTCTTCCTGGGTGAGAGGATCCAGTTGACCGTTTGTTCGGCGCCACCTAGTGTCCCTTAGGTGGAACTGCAGCCTACTGTTAGCTTGATGACAGTGATTATGCTACAGCTAATGTGGACTCCGAGGTCAGTACAGTTTAATTTTTGCGTCTCACTTACCTACCTTATCTTTTGAAAAAAAAGTTCTTCAAAGTCTTCAAAATGTGATTTTG